TCTAAACTAAACTCGATACGACCGGATTTATACTGATGCTTTGTGCGCAGTTTGAAGTCAATTGAAGTTGCCGTCTTTGAGAAACGTGAGTGATTACAGAGGCAGACAGACAGACACACTACCAAAGAGTTCCCTGCACCTCCTGACAGCAAAGGCCTCGCTAACGCTCAGCCAATTAATTACTCGAGTAATAGGCTAGCTCGCTGTACTATTAATAATATGTTATTCCTCAATAGCTATTTGGTAAATAAAATGTGAAAGTAGGATTTCTGTTTCGTTCATTACCCGTGCCACTCACACAAAAGCTAAAATCCACACCAGACATGCGGGTGAAATTTAAAGAGGCAGAGGCAGAGGCAGAGCGCCGGGTTAGAAGGCTACACCTTACGCCGCCGCAAGCGTTGTGTTGCCTTATATGCTTGGCAACCGGCCTTGCCGCATCCGGGCCACTTGCCCCGGCCGGCCCAGGCTAGGTGACAATGCCTACCGCTGGTGGGTGAGCCAGCCAGCGCGCGTCGGATAAGTGCGCCGAGCCTTGACAGTCCGATTGCAAACTCTACCGTGTACCCAATATTACCACCCCTGGGAGTGACTCCTAAGATACTCTAAATTATGTTCCTAAAAGATCGAGCAACATACATCAATTTTTAAGTTTTTGCTACTGCCGATACTACCAAACTCGTAATTAAAAGATAACAGTGCTTCAAAGCGAGTGTCAAAATAGAGGTCGGACGACGCCGGCGGCGAACGTTGGAGCGTCACTGCAAAGTGGTCCGGCAGCACGACATAAATCGAAAATACAAATTGAGATTTGAGTGCCATCAATATAATCGTTCTATTATTGCTAAAGGACGACTAACCATGTTTGAAGCTCCTTTTGGGCCTTCTCGCCGGCAGGGGTCCGTAACTTAACGCATTAGCGTTATGCGTTAGTTATATAAATTAACGTGTAACGCATTAGCGTTAAGCGTTAGTTATGTAGAACGTTTAACAATTAGCAATAAAAGTTAAAGTTATGGGTCGTCAAAAATTATTCTGGTGCTAGTTGGAGCTTGTTCCGGCATTTTGAGTCTAACTCTCTAAGTTTCTTTAAATGGCCAAGAGTTATAAGTTATAACTCTTAACGTTTCATTGTATGGTCACAAATTATAAGTTATAACTTTAACGGATAACGTACAGCTAAAGGGGAGTTTCATGTTAAATTACGGACCCCTGCTCGCCGGACAGTTCAGTGATAGAAATTTCAATCACTGTGCAACAGTACTACTCGGTGCAGGGCCGTTGGCAAATTTGAACTTTAAAAAAAGGAAGGACACCTGTGATTCATGCCTTCAAACCTTCCAGTGGAATGCCTTAAGGGCCGTCATGGGGTCGGCGAAGACGTCTTCCCTTAACATCAAAATACCGAAGTAAGTACATTAGAGTATGGGACGGGCAAGTAAAGATTGTATTCTTCTAATGATAGTGTTAATTTTATTGAACACCAATCAGGTCATCTACCAGATGTTTGGGATTTTGGACTGGCTTTTAATTCCAAGTGCTCCGTAGATAATTTCATTTCCGAGAGTAGTCAGGCCACCATTGGCACCACGAGAAAGATCCATGTTAGCCGTATCTTCATTGTTACCATGCCAAGACCTGTGAAAAGCAAAAGTGTATTAGATGAAACTGCTTAAGCCAACAAAACGTTATGCCAGATGCAGATTGAGAACGACAGCTGTCATCAGATAAAATTCTAGAAGGATGTATTCAAGGCCCCTACGAACAGAAAATACTTAAACGGTAATCGTCTAACCCAACCTATCTTTTTGATACTCCATTTCAACCCCTTTGGTGAAATTCGCTGTGTGCGTTTCATAGCCAAGACAAGAATCCTGCGATACTCTCCAAATTTCAAGTCTCCAGTTATGTCTGCCATGTCAAAATTACACTCAAACCGTTATCACCACAACATATATAAGAAAACAATTTCTGGATGTTATTGTTCCAATGTGGGGGTAAACTGTCAATAAATTAATCTTTCGCGATTACCACCACAGCAACCAAAAGATAGCTTAAAGATCTTACGATTTCACGATTTAGCTCCACGCAAAAACATACATTTCAAATCCGTGCTACTCAGTTCAGCTGGATAGTTTGAAAACCGTGCCGTAAAATTAGCTTAGCTGTACAGCAAAGTGGCATCTATCTACACGATGAAGAGAAAGTGCAGTTAACCGGACAGTCAGCTGTTTCAAGAAAAAAAGAAGTAAAAGAGGAAAGAAAAATCTTGATGATTGTAAACCAAACCCACGGTTCGGAAAATTTACTCGCTTTGTGTGTTATAGACACTTTACAGGCAAGTAAAACATTCTTTAAATTGTTGATGTGTCTTTTTGCACGTGGTGTCTCTGGGCATTATAGACTCGCAGTTTTAAATCAGAAGTAGCGACCTTTCGCCACAGCGGGGCCCGAAAGATGGCACCCGCGGTACCCGTCGAATGTGAATGCCAGGCGCGTAAAGTTTCGGGGGTCGCGGACAGCGACAATTATCCTTCGAATTGACTATCCTTTCATTTTCAATGCGTTCCAGCATGATTGAACTCCCCATCCTCCGAAATAAGGCGGTCTACTGGACGGCCGTCCCGGGTGAAAAATTTCCTCTGGCGCTTAACAAATCAGCCGATTCTTTTCAGGTAATTCTTTCACCCCGGTGCTCAAAACGAGCAAATGTTCCATTTTTTTCTGCTTTTTTTCCTGACAGTTCTACACCCTCCGCTACCTTTTCGGATCCCCACTGATCAAGAGTAAAAGCTACGTTATTCTGCGTGAATTTCGAAGATACCTACCATGCTAGCCATCCAACCGATCGCTCCGTGCAGTACTGCATGATGGACTTGTAGTCGACGGGCTTGCCACTCTGGCGGTCGCTGAACTCGCCAATAATGACGGGGACACCAATTGCCAGACTGTTGTCGATGTGGCGCCTCACTGTCGCGGCATCTGGGGCAGCTACCTCATACATGTGGATCGAGAAGATCAAATTGCGCTCGGGATCCGCCTGTATGGTTAGAGAAACATTGTGAGAAACGGCAAAAAGAGAACTACAGCAAGAGTGTGAAGCCTGTCGGCTCTCCGGCCTTTAGTAGGCTAGGAGCTGGTCACGAAATGACAGTAGTTTCTTAGTTCCAGAGGAGCCACCAGGGACGGCGTCGACCAATGCCGGGGCCGGGCGAGGGGAGTTGGAAGCGGTGCACCGCGCATTCCACCCCTTCTCCCTTCTCCCCTCACACGGCACTGGTCAACGCAAGCCGCGCAAGCGCCACTGCTGGTTTCTCTCGATTTGAGAGCATGCCGTCACTCCATCAGTGGCCCAACTCCGGATAGCTCAGAGGCATCAACGTATTAATTGCATCGTATCGTAATAGTTGAGACCTTTAAGTTTACCCCTCTACAACCTTTTAACAACGGATGCAGTAGGAACACCAAATTGGAGCCGAGATTGACCTTACTGCAAAAAAGGCTTGGCCGGGCGATCGCAGCAGAAAAAGGCTTGGCCGTCGGGAGGCTGCTAAGAAAGACTCAGTTGCTGGACTTTTCCTATCTGAGTCTTAGCAGCCTACCGCCGGCCAAGGCTTTTTCTGCAGCGGTCGTTCGGCCAAGCCTTTCTCGCCGGAGGGTATCGAGATGCGATTTTGTTCACCCCTCGTTTCGGAATAAGATTTAATTGCAGGTAATAATTGACAGTTCATCAGCGCAAAAGAAGAAGGAATGAAATTCATGCGATGAACATGGCACACGCCTCAAATGAATGCATGTTAAAAAAGTAAGTTTCGCATTGCTCCTTTTCTTGAGGTGGAAACTCTGTTAATAGGTCGACGGCAGGTTTTACCTCAAAAACGACGCGGCCTTGCTGTGCGATGCTCGCTGCGTCCTGTCCCCACCCAGGAGCGTCCACGATGATGAGGTGCGTGAGTCCTGCGGACCGCAGGGACGGCAGCACCGAGGCGTAGCCACTGGCCCAACGTGCAGCCTGAAACGTCACTGGCTTTAGGACGACCCTTCAAGCAGGGGCGGAACTGGCTCACATCTAAGGGAGGGGCAGAACATACGGGTCACCTTCCTACCGGGACATTTGTAATGATATAAAATATCACCTTATTTCCACATTTTCCATGATTTAAGGAATGGCAATTTTTGTGGGTAATAAAATGCCCCTTTCCCCTTTTTGATATATTGTTTAAAATTTAATCGTGTCGGAAAGTACCGTAATGTATACTTAAATGTACGGAGCAGCGCAAGAGTATTGTGTGAGCGAAGCTAACCAAAATTTTCGTATTTATAAGGTCTTGGTCCGATTTCAGCCACCAACCGGTCGATGTGTGATCGGTCGGACGTGGAGCGGTCAGTGCGAGAGATAGCATCCATGAGAAAAGCACACATCTGTCTCTCCCTCACTGACCGCTCTACGACCGGCCAATCGCACACCGACCGGTTGGAGGCTAAATTCGGACACACCCATAGTTCCATTTAATTACGAAAAGAAAAATCCTTATGTGCAATTTTAAAACTCAATTTTGAATCAGATGAAGTCTTGCGATATGTCGATCGTTTTAGCAGCAACCAATCATTCCACTTTCGCACAACCACACGGTAAAAGGAACATCTTGGAATTCAAGTAGATTCCTTGAAAACTGTCTTGAAAACCAAGCAGATTGCGTGAAATCCAAGATGTCGTTTTTACCGTGCATACCAGAACAAATGACAATACGAAATGATAACACCCCACCCCAAAACCAGTCCTTCTAAAATATTGGGGCAACTTTATTTTTACCCAACTTTGTTTTTGTTGGATTTTAACTGCGAGCATTCAGATTCATGCAAACAATTATTTCTGAAACCTTTCCTTAAGTTTAGGCTTACCTGTCCAGATGAACCGAACCACTCGTTGGCAATATTGATTATGACGTGGTCCTCGAGCCCTTTCAGAGTGGATGCCAAACTAATCCAGTAGTCAGCAGCACGACGCAGCTTTGCAAAATCGTCCGAACCGGTAGCGTCATGCACCTGGAATGAACGCACCGGAATGGTTCTGAATTGCAAAATATATCCAAGGTGCTCAAAACATGACATTTTGAACACTAATGTGGGGTGAATTAAGAGTTTTTTTTGGTTGGGTTTCTTTTTGATTTAAAAGTCGTTCTGTTCCTCTTCAGTCCCAATCGACGGTTTGAAATTCTTTGTGAAAATTCTACAGGAAGAGAACTACGCTTTTTATATTATTTTGCCTAATGACGCCAGTATGCTGTTTGTGAATCCTTTGTGGTGTTGGAACCCAGAGAAGGGGTTACATCGTATCGGGTCACTAGGACCCACCAAGATAACGGCGTAGGTCGAGATTTTTGAAAGTATCACTAAATATGTGCCCCTGGGGAGGAAGCAATCCTCCCTCGAAGGCCGGATTTCATCGTGTGGCCTTCTTCAGATCTGTAGGCACCCAAGCAAGACCAAAAGATACGCTTCGGACCACAGTAGCGGTCGACATACTAAAAAAAACAACACACTTATTTGGGCCTAAAATTCACATTTTGTGGCCCCTGGACGGTAGGCTAATTTTCGAGCGGGTTCAGTATGGCTTTCTTTGTAATCATCTTCAAAAATTGAACGAATCGCCGGTTCGTTTGAAAGAATCGGACAAAAGCTATGCATTTGACGATGTACAGCATTACAACTACTTTGTTCAAATCTATTGGATCTGGCGCCAGCTGATTCGTCAGGAATCGGACGTAAAGTTTAAAGTGTCGTGTAATGGTGTACTGTCGACTACTGGGTGGCCCCTTACCCTATGTGTTTTAAGAAAACTGCTAAACGCAGCGATATGAGCGACAGACCTTGCTGTCATTCATATCGCTACGGTTCTTTGTTTCTTTCAAATAAATATGAAAACGGAACAGACCGAAAGATAGGAACGAGTCGGGAGAAAATTGAACTTTGAATGACACATACCTCTAAGATGGCGACGAGCTTGTTCTGCTTGCAGATGTCCAAAATTCGGCGCACACTCGCTGCGTCGTCGTACGTGTACTGGCCCCCATCAGACAGCACGATGCGGATCACGTTTGCACCGGTGGCGGCAATGGCGGGGATGGCTGTTTCGGCATCTCCTTTGTACCAGGTGTGGGCATAGTTGATGCCCCGCATGACGAAGGGTTCTTGATTGCGATCAAGGACGGTTGTGCCTTGTTGAAAGAAAACGACGAGTGTTAACATCAGGTTCAGGCCAATTCATCAACACTTTTGACTCGCCGATACTTATACGCACTGCACATTACAATTTAGGGGACATCAATTTTGGGAGAAGTGTGCGCGTTTCGTCCTAATGTGCCGTAACAACGTTTTGAGCCAAGAAATGATACAGTTATTTCTATGTTTAGGGGATACTATGCACTTTTCTTATCTGCAGAATGCAACAGTTAAATGTAATTGGCTAAACGCTAGCGAAGCCTTTTAGGCCTTTTTTTTGTGTGTGTTAAACCACCCTTTGTTTTTCAGTATAATTTACGCGAGGGTGCCCCCACTTCCAAAATAGGTGTACAACGTTCAAGCCGCAAGTATTTGAGCATTCCCGCGAATTTTTGTGACTTTGTCGCGACTTTGACGCGATTTGGTTGTTGGCAAAGGGTGTCTTGAAAACAGGTTTTTCTTCGGCGTGGATTTAGCGGGGCGCGGAAAAGTGGACATTTGGGACGTACAACACATTGCCAAAAATCGCAACTCGATCGGTGACGAACGAAGGCAACATCGACTTTCCGCTGCTTTAGCTTCCTGTCCTTCTATTTCCAAATTGGCACATTCCTATTTTATTGTACACACCAATACGGGTGCGGAATATCTGTAGGACTACTGCGGTAGGAAACATGTACAAGAAATCGATATTTTTTGAACTGTTAACAGTTGTGATTTTTCAGAAACGTCCCATAGAAGTTTCGTACCGCACGGCGCGTTGCGGCAGGTCAAGGGTCAAGCGGGGTCGGGCCAAACGCACGCCGCTACGTACAGTAGAGGACTGTGTTGTGAAAATTCAGAACATTTCTTCTTTTTCACAACACCTATGAATGTTAATAACAGGACTGTTACTTTTTACAACACCAATTATGAGAACACACATGTTATGACAAAAATGATATAAATTTTAACTAGGTAGATGTACGCCAGACCACGTCTCGCGTAACAGGCTTCGCAATATCTCACGAAACACTGTTACGCTGCGACGCGCCTGGCATACATCTACCTAGGCCTGCGGCGCTGACACCCGAGTCAGGTGGTGCAAAAATGTACACAAAGGTACGCGCATCCGGCCCGTCAACTTCCCGGCACTTCGACTATGCATGCAGGATTGCACATTTTCTTGCGTATTTTCATCAAAAACTTCCTCTGGCGCCTAAACTGTTAAAGATAGAGCCAAACGGACGAAATTCTCGCCCAAAGGGTTCTACTTTGATGAGGTACCTCCTTGGAAATTGTAAAAACAATTAAAAAAAAAAAAAAAACGTTATTTGTGAGATCTGTGGTATTTGATTTTTTTAAAAATCCATTTTTTTGAGCTAGAATGCTCTTCTTCGAACTTGATCTGTCTTTTTATGATACAAAACGACCCTGAAAATCCCAGGTCGCTAGCTCAATTTGTTCTCGAGTTATCGTGATGACAGACAAACACACACACACACACACAAACAGACAGACGCGAAACTTTTTGATCATCACTGGAGTAATAGGCTGCGCTAATCGCTCAGCCAATAACATTTTTAACAGCGACGACTTGCATAGCTTTGTTATAGCAGCAGTGTCCAGATGTGTCACTAACGCGACTAACAGTTGGTTTAAAGCAGCGTCAGAGTGTTTGAATTATTGTGAGCAAACTGTGCAATTTGTTGATCAGTACTTTGACAGTCCACGCCACTGTGCAAACAAATTCCGAAGGTAATGACAAACATTTCCACACAGCGTATCGCGTTTAAAGGGGGCAACCAAGTGAAGCGCGCCTTATGTAGGGGTGTTTTGCGTATGATTAGAGAACCCATGGTTTCTAGATTACAACCGAGTATACCGTTGAGTCGCTCATATAATATTTGACTACAAAACACAATTTTAATCTAGCCCATACGCCTACCCAAAGCAGTGGCGTCGTGCACTGATAGGCTCGCCTAGCCAACTACGTACCGTAAGAAATCATTAAACTAGGTAGATGTACGCCAGACCACGTCTCGCGTAACAGGCTTCGCGATATCTCACGAAACACTGTTACGCTGCGACGCGCCTGGCATAC